AGTGCATGTTGGAAAAGCTGTACCAGATGGGCCCATGTGTCATCGGCCAGCCTGGGCCAGGCCTCAGTGTCCTCCCACCTCCCTGCCCAGGCCAGGTGCCCACCCAGCTCTGCCAGCCTGAGTGGACGGCCCCCCGCCCGCCGAGAGCCGCACACACGTCCCCGCCCGCGGTGTATACACTGTGCGCTGGTTAGAGTGTGCTTTATCACAGGCAGGTTTCTGCCCGGCCGTTTGAATTCTGTCTGGCTGTCACGGCAAGGGGCAGGGACTGAGAAGGTGGGGAAGGGGGTAGGCATTGTCTCTGAAATATCGCTCAGCCGGGCCTTTCCCTGCCTCCTGCTTTCTCCTCGTCTTGCTGAGATGTCAGGAAAGTAGTTAATGCGTGTTAATAACAAGGGAGCTGCTGCACCTGCACCACACACACCTGGGAGCGGAAGGCTCGAGTCCTGCCGCTGCGCACAGGGTGCCAGGTAAGCCAGTGGATCCCCAGGGCCAGCGGGACGCCACAGTCGAGAAAGGTGTCCCAGTGTCAAGTCTGGGTGAAGGTCACTCACACTGTGGCCACTTCAGGACAGGAGGTCCCACAGGGAGGCTCCCCACATCCTCTGGGCACCCCCTCACCCCTAACTCTGGGTTCAGGGCTCTGCCAATCCCTGCCATGCTCCCAGCCCTGCCAAGGACCTCTGCCTGGGAAGGAGAGAAATGAAAGTAAGATAAACAGAAGAATTAGGCTGGGGAAGGGAGGGGGAGAAAGTCACGGCAGTATCTTCACCCCACGTCTTAGCGCATGACAGTCAGCTGTGCTGTGTAACAAACAGCCCCGGTGCCCAGTGGGTTAAGACAGTCACCAGATTCTTGCTTATGCATTTGCGAGTCAGCAGACCCAGCAGAGCAGACCGCACTGCAGTCGGGCGTGGTAAGCTCCGCTGGGTCTGACTCTCACTGGCAGTCGGACTGTGGTGAGCTCCTAGCTCCCACTCTAGGACCCGCATGGAGAGATAGGAGCTGTTTTAGAGGAAGTCCTCGGGGCGAAGTTCACGGGCTGCAGAAATGCACACTTCTTAGCCTGGACTGATAAGCTGCCACTTCCACCTGAGTCCCCTGGCCAGAGCCAGCCACACAGGGAGTCCCAGCGCCACTGGAGGGGCAGGCCGGTCAGCACTACGGCGTTGGCGTCTGCGTGTCGGCCTGACCCGCTGGTACCAGCGGTGTGACCTTGGGCACCTTGGGCCTCCGTGCCTCCGTCTCCCGTGTGTAACGTGGATGTGCTCTGCGCTACGTCTGCCTCGTGTTTCGGACAAGGATCTGGTGAGCTGGTCCACGTGGACATTGAGGTGGCGCCCCGTCTCCTGCCGGCACGCAGCGCACGTTCCTGTTGTCACAGAGCGCGCAGCCCCCGAGGAAAGCCCGCCTCTGCGTGTGCACACGCGTACACGGGTGTGCCCGTGGCTGGACAGGGCGGGGTGGGGCGGGGTGCTAGGTGAGCAGGCAGCCGAGTGCCCACGTGCAGGGAGAACTTGCTGACCGACACCTGGGCACCCTCCCCACCGAGGCCACGTGTGGTTGCCTTGACAACAGTCTATGGGACGTGGAGACGGGTCTGGCGGCTGTTGTTTCCCGGCTGTTGGCGTGAAGAGATGATCTGCCCGGCCTTCTCCAGCACGCATTGCACCTGCCTGTCCACACAGGCTCGGGCGGCCCCTGGCAGGTTTCCTCTGTGTGTGCTGTGGTGGAAACACGCTATAAGAATAGAAATTAGCAAAATATTAAAATTGGCTACCAAAGCCCGACACAGCCACGATGGAGGGGAGACAGAGAAAGCACAGGCAGGAAGAGCAGGCCAGGAGGGAGCCGCCCCACCGAGGGTGAGGGGCTGCGGCCCAGCAGCCGGCCAGGGCCCACCCGGCCCCATTGTGGCCTGTGAGACCAGAACCACAGGGTGGGAAATTGGGGCGCTCGCAGGGTTCAGGCAGCCGGCAGAGTGGAGTGCCAAGGTTTTCTATGCTGGTGACAACTGTGCGTTTTAAAAATACCGTGTGAGTTACAAGCCTGACTCACATCCATCTCAGCATTCACTGGGCATCTCCTGTGTGCTAGGTTTGCGGCACTAGGTTTGTGGCACCGAAGGAGAGGACAGAGCCCGTCATCCAAGCTCACGTCCCAGTGAGGGGTTGAGTCAGAGCCCAAGCGGACAGAGGAAGTGCGGTGTGTCTGTTCGTGTGTCCGTGTGTCCGAGGGCGCTGGTAAGAGAGGAGGAAAGCAAGGAGTGGTGATGTCGCGGGAGGGCGATTGCAGACAGAGCAGAGGCAGGGGGTCTCTGAGACGCTGATGCTGAGCAGAGGCGAACCAGCCTGGCACCATTGTGGGGCGCCGCGCTGTGCAACGTGGGTACGGAGCCGCCTGCCTGGGCTCTGCCCGTCGGGTCCCAGTCCCACATGGCCTCCACCCAGACGTGACAGCGGGACCTCTAGAGGTGGTCCGATGTCCCCGGGGGCCATCACTGCCCAGTCGAGGTCCACCGGGTTAGAGACCTGAGGCCGTGAGGACGAACCCCGTAGAGGGCCGTGAGAAGATGCACAGCAGACGGAGCGGCAGGCGCGAAGGCCCTGAGGCGCACATGACTGGCACGTTCCTGGACCAGCCTGAGGCTGGAGGGTGGGGCGGAAACCGGGTAACCACTCGAGGACCTACCGTGCACAGCGGGGGAGCAGGGCATGCAGGGAGGGCATGCAGGGAGGACTGCTGCGGTCCCACGGCGACACCAGGGGGCAGCGGTGACAGCAGGGACAGCGGTGACAGCATTCCAGCCCTACGGCTACACCGAGGGAGACAGTGGTTACAGCATTCCGGCCCCACGGCTACACTGAGGGAGACAGTGGTTACAACATTCCGGCCCCACGGCTACACCAAGGGGTGACAGCAGTGACAGCATTCCGGCCCCACGGCTACACTGACGGGAGACAGCAGTGACAGCATTCCGTCCCCACGGCTACACCGAGGGAGACAGTGGTTACAGGATTCCGGCCCCACAGCTACACCGAGGGGAGACAGTGGTGACAGCGGTGACAGCATTCCGGCCCCACGGCTACACTGACGGGAGACAGCAGTGACAGCACTCCAGCTCAGCTATTACGAGGGGTGTGGGAGACACTGGGACAGCGTCTCCATTGTGGGCCCCAGACGGCAGGGAGCGTACGGGACAACTGCTTGGAAGTGGACCATGGCCCCACTGCAGGTGCTGAGCCTGATGCTCGAGGTGGGGCCCAGCAATCTGCCGGAAGACCTCCCGATGGTCGCCAAGCCTGAGAGCCCACCTGGCCAGAGGAGCACTCAGGCCAGGGTGCTGCTGGCCGGCAGGGGTTGACAGCAGACGCCTGTGCTTCCTCCTTGGGGAGTGTGTCCCCCAGGGACCAAGGCTCACATGACAACAGCATACAGAGGCCGACCGCATGTGCTGGATGGGAAACCCTGAGGCTCACCTGGACCCCACGCTGCATTCAGCCTCTAAATGCCAGGGCTGTGGGTTCCAGTGGTGGCCCTGCAGTGGGCAACCTGCCCACGAGGGAGACGATGCAGATTTCAAGAGACAACGCCAAGGACCGAAGGGGTTCCTGCAGAGCTTCCAGTCTCTCTGTGTGGACAAGCGGCTCATTGGTGACGCCACGGCTCCCAGGGCTCACCACTTAGGAGACAGATGTGTCCTGAGACGTCCCCAGACGTTTACGACGCCTTCAGGAGCAGCGGTGCCGACGGCGCGGGCGTGCCCAGCCACTCACACCCTTGGCGTTCCTCTTAATTATTCTAAATTCTGGAGCGGCCGGGCTCCCTCCCACCAGAGCTCAGAAAGGCAATAAATGAGGAAAGCCAATGGCCATAGATTACAACATTGGTCAAAGAAGCGATTGCTGATGTAGCTCTGGCTCGGCTACTATGCTAGTACCTGCCGGATCCAGGGCAGTGTTTACATGCTGATGACAAGTCTGGGACAGCAGCTTCAATGGTTTCCATCCTAATCAGCGCGCAGTTTCAGACTACTCCAGACTAGGAGTGACAAGGGCCATCCGCGTGTCCCTGCCCCCTCTCTCCCTGCCATCGTCCCCAGCAGATGGGAGACATTGTCCCAGCCCAGCCCCTCCAGCTGCCCTCCAAACAGACACGCGAGGTGAGGATGAAAATCGGGCCAGAGCAGCCATCGATGTTCCCACAAGCTGGGGAGTTCTGGGCAGTTCTGGGCACTCCTTACTCAGCTCCGGGTGCTATTTGGCCGTCCAGAGGCCGCAGAAGGGGACCCTGCTCCTCGCAGAGTACGTACGTGATGTAGCCAAAGGCAGATACGCAGATCAACGATCACAGCGCGGCGGTAAGGGCCCAGTGGGGGTCCGTGAGTGACTTCATTAACCCTGGCTTAGCTACAGCGCATGGGGGGGGCTTTCTCCAGCTGAGTCCGCTTTATGTGTGCTCCCACGGGGGACCCACACAGCTCTCCGCACCACCTGAGAGCCCTCTCGAAGCTTCTGGAGTAGCTTCCGGTGTTTCTGCTGCCTTTAGCTTAGTCTCAGCTAAGTCTCCCATTGTGTCTCCCACCCCAGGAACCTAATGGCTGTCCTGGAGCAGACATGGCCGTGAAGAGAGAGTGCCATTCATCTGCCCCTGCGTCCCTGTGCTCGTCTCCACTCACACGCCCACCCTCCTGTGGACTGTCCGACTACTCCTCTATCCGCCCTTCTCCATCTGTCTGTCCATCCGGCCACCTGTGTATCCATCTCTCCATCCGCCTCCCTCTCCATTCCTCTGTCCCTCCATCCACCCCTCCCACTATTCTTCCATCCCTCCCTCCCTCCACCCCTCCATCCTCCCATCCATCTGGCTGTCTGTACCTCTCTCTCCTCCCATCCCTCCCTCCACCCCTCTATCCTTCCTCCCATCCCTCCCTCCACCCCTCTCTCTCCCCTCCCATCCCTCCCTCCACCCCTCTATCCTTCCTCCCACCCCTCCCTCCATCCTCCCACCCGTCTGGCCGCCTGTACCTCTCTCTCCCCTCCCACCCATCCATCCATGCTAGGCCCACGTTGCAGAGTTCCTGCTTCGTGAGCAGCTGCTGTAAGGAGCCAAGAGATCAAAAATGACTACGACATACTTTTTGCCTTCAAGGACTTTGCCGCCCAGTAGGTGATGTGGCCACATGGGGACGCTTTAAATCGCAGCCCGTAAAGATGGCTACGCGAGGCAGGTCGTACTGTTTCCTGTAACTCAACCTGGTTTCTATTTTCAGTTCAATAGAGTGGCAGAGACAGAATCCCAGTCTAATTTCCAGACTTCGCTTCTGCTGCAGCCTAAGAGGAGGGGGCTTCTCGTCTAGTCTTCTGTTCGCAGTGGGAGGCGGGCCTGCAATATTGGCCACGGTGCCCTGGCCTCCTCTGCAGTGGCCCTTGCTGCTGTCCACGTGGCCCCTTCCTGTCTGCTCGAGAACGCAGGCATCTTTGTCTGCTGGTTCTTCGCAGGCTGGGAATGCCCGAGGGGGCTGTGCGACGTTTGTCTTTGCACACAAAGCGGATGTTCACAGGCCTGCTGCCTATCTGCATGCTCTCCTGTCTACCCACCTGTCCCTCTTCTGAAGCAGCACTCTGCTCCAGGAGGGGGGACAAGACATACGTGGTATCTTGGAAGTTCATGAAAATGCATAGTACGAAATACGATGCATGCAGGACCAGCAGATGGCGTAATGCCACGTCGCTGGACTCCTATATAGTCGACCACAGTTCGAGTCCCAGACCTGGCGGCTTAAACTCTCGCTAGGCACGTGTGCATGTGTGCCCAAGATCCCTAGAGGAGAATGGAGGGGCAGAGATTGTGGCGTGGCCATCCCCCTGGAGGATGATTTCTTGCTTTTTGTCTCTCTCTCTCTGGTGAGTGCATGCGCCCTATAGAAAAAAATAAATAAATAACCTCTCCAGGAAAAAAGATGCATGAATTTCAAAAGTTTCTGCATCGAAGTAAGTTCACACTTGAATTCCAGTTCCCCACCAATTTTGATGTCCTGTCATATGGGGAAGGCATTCACAGGTCAGTAGTCACTAGTCTGATTCTGCCATTCGCATAATAAATGACAAACGCGAAAATACACGGGCACTTCCCGGGTCACAGAAGGCACGCCCCCGGGCCCTGATCTCAGCCAGGCCCAGCACACAGAGGTGAGATGTGCCCCAGAGAGGGGTGGCAGGTGCCAAGGCCTGGTGTCCTGGGGACACAGCAGGACTGTGCGGACAGGGGAGGCACTGCAGGGCCGCTCCATTGTTGGAGGCTGTCTGGGGTGAGACGTGGGTGAGCCCTCTTTCTGAGAAGATGCTAGCCTGGGGCTCCCCTGGCAGCCACACCGCAGACCCTCGGCCCACCAGGTCTCGGCCACAGCTGCAGTTCTGTGCGGGTTCACGCTGACTCCTTGACTGCAGGGTCACCTCAAGCTGGTGTTTGCATTATCTCAGGCACAGACAGCCCCACCCAGTGGGAGAGGGGAGCTGATAGAGCATGTCCCTGACTTCTGTCCCTCAGGAGGACAAGGCTTGAGGTCGAAAGGCCTGATGGTCACAGCAGCAGGCTCCAAAATGCCTCTTCCTACTGGCTTCTCAGTCTGCTCTCTCCTTTCCCTGTGGGCACTTCTCACTTCAACTGGCTGCACTAAACCCTTGTCTCAAGCTCTGCCTTGGGACGACCTGAATTAAGCATGTGTGCTTTGCAAGAGGGTCAGACGGCCAAAGAAGGGTGGTCTCCAGGACAGCAAGAACTTCCCACCCTCCTCCCCTTGCTTTGCAGGTGTCCGACCGCTGCGACTACGTCTTTGTCAATGGCAAGGAGGTGACGGGCAAGGCGGACGCGGTCGTGAACTTCACGTACCAGTACCTGAGCGCCCCCCTTCACATCACCGTGTGGGTGCCCCGGCTGCCCCTGCAGATCGACGTCTCTGACACGGAGCTCAGCCAGATTAAGGGCTGGAGGGTCCCCATCGTGGCCAGTAAGAGGTGAGTGTAAGGATGGGCGAATGCCATGGGGCTGCAGCCTGGGGTGGCGAGACCTGGAGCCCCGAGGGGAAGGGCTGTGTATTGAGGACAGAGAACAGCGGGGGTCGGGCGCACCAGGTGTGTCTGACGGAGAACACTGCCGCAGCCCCAAGCCCTTCTGTGCTCATTCTTTTCCAGAGAAGGCAAAGCCGTGGCTTCAGCTGTGGAGCACCTGGCGTCCTGCATCTCGCGGTTCTAACGAGGCTCTCCTGGCCCGCCCTGGCTGACGCTCAGGTGTCTTCTGTCTGTAAACCCAGCAGATTATGTCTATGTTTAGAGCTTTCGCGTGCCCTGCAGCGTCAGCACAAAGACCACATCTGCTTTAAGGTGCTCCCTGCTCCACGGAGCCAGAAGAACATCTATTTACTGAGCTCAGTGCTACAGGGGTCACCCGGGACTCGGCACGTGGCAGGTGTACTGTGATCAGAACTCGTCCACCCCCTAAATCCTGGCCACCCTCTGAGGAGGCCGTGGCTCCAGGATCACCCAGCCAGGCCCGAGCCTGCTAAACCACACGTCTCACTGCCCCTGGCTGTTTGCTTCAGCTATGGCAGGCTGTCTCCTCAAAGCAGCTCTCCCGAGTGGCAAGAGAGAAGTAATTCATTTTTCTAGTCCTCAGGGAATTCGGAGTTTGGTTTATTTTTTCTAAGTTAAAAGCAGAGTCCTCGTCTTGCGTTTTATGAATATCTATAAGCTCGAGATGCTCTGTGCGGATCAAATCGTTGGACGGAATTTCATTGCACTTACCTGGCCCGTGGGGCGACCGCTCAGGGACCAGGCTCTGATGTGCCCGCGCAAGCCGGGATTGCTGCGTCTCAGTCGGGGTGACGTTCTCAGCTCTGTGACACCCAGGCGTGTCAGCTAAGTAAGAACTGCTGCTGAGTTCCCAGATTCCTGCCTGAAATTCTCCATCTCAACCACCAGGGCTATTATGTGGGGGGTCAGCAGGGCACCAGGGCTTCTTGCATCGTAAGAATGAACCAGGGTACGCCTGACGCAGAGTAACTGCAGCGACGAGATGCCAGCCCTATTTCTAGAACAGGAAAGACTCTGAGCTGATCAGGGAGGACAGTCAGGAGTCTAGCTGGTCCTTCCAGCCACAGAGGCCAGGGCTGGGGTTTGGTCCACACCCCTGAGAAGGCAGAGCTGACTTGCTGGGCTCCAACCCAAGCCCTGCACTCCCCAAGCTGTGAGTGCCTGGGCAATCCACCCAACCTCTCTGCCTTAGTTCCCTCACGTGGACACGAGAATAGTTACAGGCTTCCTTACCGTGTGTGAGATTAAAGAGTTCGCGCGTGGGAGACCTGCCACAGCTCAAGCATTTAATAGTTATCTCCGATTGAACTTTCTACAGAATGTTCCAGAACTGCTCCTTCCGATGTGTGCTGGCACACAGCTATGAAATACTGCAAGTGTTGCCAGTGTGAGCAAGAGGTGGAATTTTCTGATTTATTTTGTTTGCATTCATTTAAATCACGCTTTTCAGGGCCACGCGGAGCTCGAGGTCCCTAATGAAACGGTGCGGACTAGCTTCAGTCTTACGCCCCCGTGGTCCTGAGCGTGGCCTCCTCGAGGTTGAGGTGGTGCCTGTCTGTCTCAGACATGCCCGTGAGTCCTCTGCCCGGGTCTGAGTCTCCCTTCTTTCCCTAAGGCCCACTCGAGAGAGCGAGGATGAGGATGAGGATGAACGGAGAGGCCGGGGCTGCACCCTGCAGTTCCAGCATGCCACCGTGCGGGTCCTCACCCAGTTCGTGTCTGAGGGCACCGGTCCCTGGGGCCAGCTGAGCCACCTGCTCAGTCCCGACTGGCAGTTCGACATCACCCACCTGGTGGCCGACTTCCTGAAGTTGGAGGAGCCTCATGTCGCCACGCTGCGGGACAGCAGGGTCCTGGTCGGGCGGGAGGTTGGCATGACGACCATCCAGGTAAGAGGTGGGCACCTGTGGCCCCAGGCAGGCTCATGGGTGGGCAGGCATGGGGCTGGGTTCATGATGGCTGCAGCTGGCAGGATGAGACCAGCTTCTTCCAAACTGAATTGAGAAGGGGGGCTAGATGCTCCTGGCTTGCTCACAGAACCCCTCTCAGCTCTGCCTCCTCCAACCCACCACCCCCAATGCTCCCCACACACCTCAGGTTCTCCCTCCTTGGACCCACCTTCTGGGCTTGTTCCTGCTTCACCATCCTAGCAATGACCTCCTCCGTACCGCTCCCCCATCAGCAGGTGAAGAGCCTGGGTCCTTCCTCTCAGGCTTCCTCTCCCTCAGTCCCCATCCTCCCGCTGTTTATCTACTCACGGACTCTCCTTGAACCCCGCCACCTCCTGTGCTCAAGGAAGCATATGGAATGGTAGGGTTTCAGGAGAGGAGACCACAGTGTGTGGGTGGCCTTTTCCTCAGCCTCTCACGTCCCTCTTACTGACTCCTCCCTTCCGGAGTATCATCCTGGATTCTGGCACCACACACGCCATCACTGGTCCATTTGTGTCATTTCCTTGCAAGCCCACGTGGGGCTTGGGCGATGAAGCAGAAAGCCGTGTTTCAGCAGAGGAAATGTCATAATGCGGGGGGAGGAGTTCACACCAGCTCATCCCAAGATTTGTCTGGAGCTTGAGATGGACCACACAGAGTCAGGTGACGTGCAACTTCTCATGAGCTTCGGCAGCGGACCACAGTACGGTTAACCAGGTTGTGCACTGCACAGAGGCACGAGGGTCCCTCATTTAAGTGGGAGGGGTCATTCCCTTTTAAAGCCAGAATGGATTTTAATAATTATTTCCGGTTTTCAGCAGACAGAACTAAAATGTCTTGGGGAAGGAGTGGCTTTATCTGACTCACTAAGGCAGAGTGTGGCCCATGCTCATGGTGAAGCACGGTGTGACTCCTTCGCTATGTGCTCTGGGCCTCAGGCTTGTTGGGAGATGTGGTGCTGGGAAAGTTCCTGCTTCCGGAGACCGGAGTGATGGACTCCTCTTATGCCCTGCCACTCCCACAGGTCTTGTCCCCACTGTCCGACTCTATTCTGGCAGAGAAGACGGTGACCGTGTTAGATGACAAAGTATCAGTGACAGACGTGGCTGTCCAGCTGGTGGCTGGGCTATCTGTCACCCTCCACCCCAACACAGAGAACAGCAAGGCCATCACAGCTGTGGCCACAGCAGAGGAGCTGTTGAGGAAGCACAAACAGGTAGGAGCCAAATGCCAGGTCGCACTGTGCCCGGCCCAGCTGTAGGGGAGGGTGGAGGGGCTCCAGGACCAAGTTATCAGAACCATGTCCAGAATGGAGGCCTGTTGTTGGAGACAAAGGTGCTCATCTCATCTACATTGCTTTTGGACGACAGAGACCATGCCTGAATTTATGCATCAGCTCCTCACCAGGTCTCCCAACTGCCATTCTTACTCTCCTCCACTCTTCTCATTTCTCAAGAGCAGAGGCAGCTTTTAAACCATAAATTAGATCCTAAATTTCACTGGCTTAAAATGCTCCAATAACCTTCTATTAAGGAGAGATTATATGTCTTCAACCTCTCACAAGGTCCTAAGTAATAGAGCCTCTGCCTAAAACTCTGATCTGATCTTCTCCAACTCTCAGCCTCTCTCAGTTCATTTTAGGCAAACACCCTCACACCTTGAGCTTTTTTATGAGGCTTATGATTGCTGTTTCTTTGCCTGGAACACATCACCTTCTTCTCACCTCTGAGCATTGCCTTTCATTTTCAGACCCAGCTGTGATATCACCTCAGAAATGCCTTCCCTTACAGTCCTAAGTCCAGTTCCTACCAGCCTTATTTTATTTCCTTCATTGTATTTGCTATTGTCTGAAATCATTTACTTATGTACAGCGAGGAATATGTTCCAAGACTCCCAGTGAATGCCTGACAGTACTGAATCCTAAATACACTGTTGTTTCCATACACTCATAGCCATGATTAAGTTTAACTTATATGTTGAACATGGTAAGAGATGAACAGCCACTAATAAGATGGAAAAATGATTAAGTATAAGTAGTAAAAGTTGTGCACATGTGCTCTGTCTCTCACTCAGCATACCACATTGTATGTACCGTATTCATTCATTTTTGGACTGTGATGGGTTATGGGTAACTGAAAGTACAGACAGCACACAGTGGATAAAGGAGACCAACTCTTGTATGTATGTATGTATGTATGTATGTATGTATTTATTGTATGAATTCTTATTTACATTTAGTCATTGTACATCTTCATAGCATACAATATGGTTTTTCAATGCATGCATGCAGTGCATGTCAGTTGAGTCAAAGATATTACTATATACATCATCCACAGAAGACAAGCACTCTGCTCATGCCCTATCCCTAGTGCCTACCCCAGTGCTAGCCCCTGTAAGTCCCAGTAAACACTGGTTAAGTGAGTGAATGACTCTCAGAGCTGGGAGGGAAGGCAGGAAACTGAAAGCAAGGAGGGAAACATAACCTGCATCTCACAACCAGGACGAGATCCTCCCACCTTGATAACCTGCACAGCTGTCTGCTCTGCCTGCATGACCTTCTACTCTGGTGCTATAGTTAGGGTCATGCCTGTGAGAAGAGGGTAGACTTAGGAGCTGGAATGTAGGACAGTGTCACAGTTCTGTCCTTCACCACCTAGGTGATCTTGGGCACCTATGTCTCAGTCCTGAAAGAGAGAGTAATAACACGTAATTTAAAGAGTCCTTTGGGAGTTCAATTAGGACTTGCTATGTTGATGCGGAAGCAGCGGCTGCTATGGAGGGGTGCCATGTCAGTAGGAGGTTCTTCCATGAGGACAGGGTCATTATCACCAGCTAGTGAAGACATGTGGGACCTTGCATGCTCCACTGGAACATGCATCTCTGTTCAGAGTGCTCTGCTCCCAACCCCAGCATATTGCTGAGGAAGCTGGAATTAGATCTGCACCATGGACAGGTGGAGGAGCTGCCCTCCCGTGGCTGGGACCACAGGCAGCAACAGGGGACTATAGCCCTCTGACATCCAGGAGTGGGAACATGTTGATAGTGTTCCAAAGAGGAGGCATGATGATGGAAACCGCGCAAGTAATAGGCAAGGGGGCTGGCCTGTGGCAATGCCTGGGAGCTTTTGCTTCTAGGGAGACTGGAAACCCAGCTGCCATGCAAGCATTCAGTACAGTTCAAGGACTGCAAACTCAGCTGCCCACAGGGGCGGGGATAGTAGCATAAATGAGTAAGGCAGGCTGCATGGAATCCGTGGTCACCTGTCCAAGCAGTGGGATCTGAGATGAACCAGAGCAGTGATAGCAGGACACAGGGCTACATAAGCTAGCTAACGCTGCGTAACAACTTGCTGTGAGCTTAGAAACCTAAAACAACACCCACTCATTCACTCACAGCCCCGGAGTGGGCTCAGCTGGGTTCCATGCTCAGAGCGTCCCAGGGCTGAAGTCAAGGTATCAAGTGGCTGGGTTCTGATCAGGAGGCTCTGGGAATAGTCTGCCTCCACCCTTATTATGTCATCGGTGGGAACTAGTTGTTCTGTTGCGTGATAGAGGTCCTGTTTCATTATTAGTTATTGGCTGGGAGCCTCTCTGGGTTCCCTGAGTCCACACACTTTCCTTCTCACTCCCAACCCCATTCCCCATTCCCATCTTCCTCAAAACCAGCAGCAGTGCATAGCAATGCTTCCACTCTTGCTGACTTCTCCTACTGCCCCGGCCAGAGAGATCTCTTTGCTTTTGAGGGCTTGCGTGACGTCACTGGACCAATCCAGATGGTCCAGGAAGATCGTCCCACCCTGAGGTCAGCCATACCTTGCATCGTATGAAACCATGAGAGCTAGCGCTCCCATCCAGTGCCCAGGTGCTCGGGCTTCGAGTGGGTCACCTGGGCAGGGCCACCTAGCAGAGTTGCCCACCACAAGGACACCATGGCCACCGGCCTTTGTTTCAGAGCCTCAGGAGGAGAGACCTAAGTGCAATCAGGCCCACATGCTGCCCTGGCTTCTCATGTCCTCTCCTAGGGGTGGGGAGTTGACGTCATCTTTCTGGTTTATAAAGAGCAGAGTAAGAGAAGCAGAAAGGAGTGGGGAAGTGAAAGCCTAAAGCCCGAAGCTATTTGCTGAGAGCAGGTAATTAATTAGGGTGGACTATAGGCATTGCAACCTCCCTGGCATGGGGCAAGGCCACCGTCCCCACCTGACGTAGCCCATCTGTCTTCATCAGCTGACGGTAATTGGAGGAGCCCAGCACCGACTCAGGGGGATTTATGGGTGTCGCTGGTGCGATTTGCAAACAAGCCTCTTGAAAGGATAGAGCTCTAAATCATTCCTGGGCATGTGCTATTTTAAGTCATTCAAAATTTCTCATCTTTGGGGATGTGTGTTGGCTTCTCCTGATAGAAAGCCGTGTTCCAGCCTCACCATAATGAGCCGATGGAAGGACTTAGTCTCCATCACACAGCAGGGAATGATGGAGATGGATTTTGGCAAGCCTGCTGTGTTCTGAGGTTTTAATTCCAATTGCCTGCCATTCAGAGGTCTTGTTTTATGTTAACTCCTTTCTCTATCTAAAGTTTGTGAAGAAAAATTAATTCAGGATGAAAAGACAGCTAGGATGAACGAATGAACTCGCACTCTGCGAACAGTTTCATTTCAGCCCTTGGTGCACAGGAGGCTGTTACCTTGTTCATGATGTTTTTCACTTTGAAATGCAAAATCAGGACGCGCTTACACCAATGAATATGAGGGCCATAGCATGTATGTTCCCCTGTGTCTCAATTGCTTTAAAAAAAAAACTGTGATAGAAAAACAAAATGAAGAATCACTCATTTGGTTTAACGTTAGAAAAGGGCTTGTCAGCAGATGTGGCAGAGACAAGGATGGGACCTGCATTACTGAGCCAGACCATCCGTCTCGGTTTCAGCTCCCCGAGAAGCTGAGCCTGAGACAAGGATTAAGTGCAAACGCCTTATCTGGGCAACGAAAGGAACTGCTTTAGGAGAGTTGGCGAGTAATGCAGGAAGGAAAGGTGGCCAGGATTACGTACTCAGCCCCCACAGAGGAAAGCTGCAGTTTGAGTTTGCTGTGGAGACTCTCAACCAGTCTAGAAGCAGCAAGAAGAGACATTGCATGGGAGGGCCAAGGGGGCTGGAGTAAGCATAGCAGCTCCCGCTAGTCATTCATTGAGGACCGTCTGTGGAAAGTAGGACTTCCTTGGCACTCTGGCTACAGACCGGACCTGAATGGGCAGATACTTACAGATACGGAATGGGCAGACACTTACAGAGAGCTTCAGAAACTCGATTTCCATACACTCTCACCACTCCTCAGAGCCGCCAGAGGTTGCTCCGGGCCCTCCATTGCAAGTGACAGAGCCCCAGCTCGAACTGGCCTGAAGAGACAGTAGAATGTGTCAACTATGCCCGGGCTTTGCATCTTCAGGCATAGCTGGATCCAGATGCTCAAATAGTATCATCAAGATATTTTGATTACGGGTATTTTCCTGCAGTTATGGCGTACCTGAGTCAGTACGGTGTTGAGCGCCGCTGTCTCCGCTGTTCTTTCCCTCGGGATCTCCTATCCAGGACAGAGTCTCGCTCTCTCCACTCCTGGTTGTGTGTGTCCTGGCTTTCACATGTCTTCAGGATTCTATGTTGAGTAAATGTGTTGGCTTATTTCCCGGTGCACCCGTCCTGCCCTCAGACGCGCCTGATCTGCTGTGTAGGCCGCCCGTGGAGCGATCGATTTCGGTGGCTGCGTTCTTCATCTCCAGGAACTCTGCCACGTTCCGCACACCTCCCTGCTCTCTCCCATCACGCCTGCTCTTGCAACGTGGCCCTCCTTTCATTTCTTTTTAGCAATTTTATTTCATAGGTATTAGTGGGCTGCTTTTTGTTCTGTTTTGTAGTTTTATTTTGATTCTTCCGTTACCTCAAACACTAGCCTGCTCATCATCCTATGCCTTTTTTTTATTTAGGGATTTTCATTATAGGCCACTTGTGCTCCTGGGACAGACAGAGACAGAGAGACACGCAGTGAGAAATCGCCTCCCCCCGGGGAGAGAGATGGCCACACCACAGTTCCTTCTTCTCCACTCTCCTCTGGGGATTTTGGGAACGTGCACACACACGCCTGACATGAGTTTTAAGCTGTCAGGTCTGGGACTCAAACCACAGGTGGTCACATGGGAGTCCAGCGCCTTAACTGCTGTGCCACCGTAACTCTCTCTATAGGTGAGTTATTAAAGTCTCCATCTGTCAGTGGAGACTTCCCACCTATAGGCTGTACTTTTTTATCATAAGCTCCTCTTGGCTTGTCCTGTTCCCAAGGACTTCCCCCACAGCTGGCGTTTCATTTCCGGGGGCTCAGCTTCCAGCAAGTTTCCTGGCAATCCCTGCTCCATGGGGTGAAACCCCACACTGCAGTGAGGACTCGATTTCTGGGGGCCGGCTTCCACCAGCACTCTGAGCACAGACAAGCAAGGTCGCTATGTCTCAGCAAACAGAATCAGGCCTCACTGGCAGATGGAGGGTGGACGTGGCCAGACAGCACCCCGAGGGTGGGCAGCCCGGCAGGCGTGGGGTGAGGGCTGTTTGCACAGTTGCACTTCCTCGGCAAAGGCCAAACTGGAGCGACCGGTAGGGCTGGTTGGGGGCTCTGGCAATAGCTTCTCTCAGGGTCTCTAGCATAGTGGTTGAGGACCCTGCCTCTTGGTACTCACAGGCCTGGGAGCACACGTCCTAACTTCTCCTTAGGAGAGTATAACCATGCCTACTCCCTGAAAGGGGAGGGACTGCATCGTGTGAGCACCCATGGCCCTGAGTCCTGGTCCATGCCCCACGGAGATCAGCTCTGCTGAGAGCCCTGGGGACCACGACCCACACTCCTCCTTCACCTTGCTCTGTCCTGGATGCTGAAGTTCTGGCACTGCCGAGACTGCTCTGGGAGGGCCCACTCTGGGGGCAAACTGAAGTGTCTGTAGCTAACAGGATCCCACTTTCCCAGTGCTGCTGTCCGGCCCCGCCTCCCTGGGGCTGTGCCGTCGCTTGGCCCAGTCCTCCCCGGGGCTGTGCTGTTGGCTGGCCCTGCCTCCCTGGGGCTGTGCCATTGGCGGGGGG